ATGTTTTGATAATTTAAATGCTAAACTCCTTGTAAATTATTCAAATATTCTTATAGCATATTTGATTTAAAAGAAAAAAAAAGGAGGAAAGAATTTTTTGAAAGAAACTGTAACATATTATTAATATGTATAAATTATCAATATGTCATAATAAATTTTAAGATTATTAATTTATCAATATGTATAAGCATATTATTAATAATTTTTTTATATTAATTTATTAAATTTATTTTAATTTTTTCATTATTATTTCTAATATTTTGATTATTAATTCTAATATTTTGATTATTAATATATCATAATTTTTCTCATTCCCATTATTATAGTAAATTGTAATACTTTTTTTGAAAATAGGCAATGGAAATAAATTGTAATTCTAAGTTGGAAGCTCCCCGGTAATCAGAAAAAGGAACAAACGTGTAGTCTCAGCCCACCTCAATTCAGACCAGTGACCACGGCTTGGAGAAAAGGGACTTCTCCATCAAAAGACAGAGACTTTCACCTCTGCGTGAATCCAACGGCAACATACGAGTCATCGCTGGCAAACAGGAACTAACAGTTTAATTCAACTACCAATCCCATCCGTATTTGCTAACTATTGCGTTTTTTTGGCTTTAATTTGAAAATCGCAAAATGCTCAAATTCACCGCCAAAATACAGCAGTAGGTTCGGATCTACCTTCAAATAAAAAACGAGAATAATTTCACGTACAAAATTTTTTACTTAAACAAATAATTCATTATTTGGCGGTTACGTTAGCTGATGTCATGTTCCATTAACTGACCGAAGGAATGAATTGGGGAGCTTTAAAAAGGTTACCTGGTCTTTAACTGACTGATAAAAAAACGGCCATATGAGAGTCATGGTACCCATTATCCTTTTCCCCTTGCTATTCTTGTTATTCTCCCACCTCTCAGCAACAAATGCCTGCTATGAAGCTGAAAGTGAGATATTGTTGAGTTTCAAATCTCATCTTTTAGACCCTTCAAATCGACTGTCTTCATGGCAAGGCCAAAACTGCTGCAGTTGGCATGGAATCCGTTGTTCAGATTCACTGCATGTCACAACACTGGACCTTCGAAACCCCAATCCAGAAAGGGTTATAGTTAACATGAATTCAGAACTTGTTTCCACTTCTGACTCCAATTTTACTGCCATCACAGGTACCATCCTTCCTTCTCTCTTTTCCCTTACTCATATCAGCTACCTTGATCTGAGCTTCAATAACTTCACTTTTTCGAAGATACCAACTGGATTAGCAAATCTTACTGCACTCACTTACCTCAATCTCTCAAATGCCATGTTCAGTGGTTCTCTCACAACTCAGTTTTCAAACCTCACTTCCCTCAGGGTGCTAGACCTTTC